TTTTATTGAGCGTTGCACCTACTGTGATTTGTCATCAGAAAGTGATGTTGTCCCTGCTACTTTCAGACGAATTTTTGTTAGCAACCTGCCACGGAATTTAGTCCAGTACTATAGAAGAAGTTGTGACATTAGCTCTGATTACGACACCAGTTTCAAAAGCCTGGGACCCTACCTCCTCTAGTTCGATGATAAGGTTTTCACTTTCTAAGATATAGCTGGGATCTTTTCGAAAGAAGGAGCCGCACGGATGTAGTGACATTGCTTCCGGTCGTGTACCTGCACATCGTCGGTGGAGGAATCAGAAAGCTCAAGGACACTGTAAGCAATCACAATTTCCTTGGCTTGACATTTTCTGTTCTTCTCTCTTTTAGTGGGATTCGTTGCACGTTTATCCACGGGATTTTAGATAGCATGCACGCTCGACTTGGGGCGCTGCGAAATCGATTCGCAGACAGCATAACGTCCTCTGTCTCATCCACCTAGTTCTGTGTTACCCGAAGTAACCGGGGTTCGTCATATTGCAGTGCCTTTGGGGGACAAGGGATGCGTTTCAATTTCGTAGGATCAGCATGGACACAGGTTGCCGTACAGATGGAACCCCATTGCTTTCAATAGTTGCATTTAGGTTTGGGGACATTAGTGCACACACGGGTTAAGGCACCATGGTTGCACCTGGCGGCTACTCGTTTCGGAGACTTCATTTCTGGTGATTTTGGTGAAGTAGTGAACGGCATTGATGGGGACCATCCGTGTTGAGAAAGTTTAGTTTTCTGTAGTCCCGCCACCAAAGATACCGGTGCTATTTCGGGTGTTCGCTTGGCGGCAACAGATGCATATGTTACCTGTTTCCTCACGATGGCTGGTTGACTGCAGCGCAGGGTCTCCATTTAAGCGAACAATGTACTAGGTGCAACACACTGTACAGAGGGTCAAACAAGTACGCTGCAGGTACGTTTCTAATTATGGGACAGAGAGAGAAATGAGTTGGTACAGAATGAGTCCGTCGTTGGTGTAATGTTGGGAGGACTGGCTGTCTTCCTTGGTCCAAATGGGGGAATCGGGGGGTTATTTTCTCATACAAGTGTAGGTCCGTTTCTTCTCATAGGTTTAACCCTGGCGGACACCACTTGCTTGACTGCAGCTATTAGTCTTTCACGCTTCTTCAGAAGCACAGCTAGGCAGCTAGTAACTGGGATAGCAACGCATATTGGGCAGAACCTAAACGTCCTGTCGCGTTAATGTACCGTCTCGTTTTTCTCGGCTCCGCCCCGAGGTATTTTGTGTGGCAGCTTTTCAAGCAACTGATGCAGACTAGCCCAATCCTCACCAATTTATCACGCAAACCACACTTGCTCATAAAGTGAGACACATTTGCCGAGAACGTACAGAGCTGAGGTCACGTGTTTGTCGGATGATCAGTTAGTGCAGGTTTTCGTGTCAATTATAAGTGTGAGTCAGCGTGACGCGCCCGCTGTCAGCAGTGACCCCCTAGTAAACACACGTGGCGATGTTGGTCGGTTGATTGATCGATGTTAGGTCCGGCTGGTTTGGGACCTAGTAAAGGAATCTAAACACAACGCTGAACACCGATTGAGAGATCACAAATTCCTTCACAAATGCGTTGAGATACACACGATTGTAATAAGCTTAGACTTCATTAAGAATTCTGCACCGAATCTCGTTACACCGAAGGGTAATGGGTACTTAGTGAATGAGTTATCCGCTTGCGTTCAGTCACGGATGACAGACAAATCCGTTAGCAATGGTTGGGAATTTAGTGGTAAAAGATAATTCCACATTTGATGGATCACTTTAAATCATGGTAAATCCGGTTCGAATGAGTGTACGGTGACTACGTATGCACTATATACATGGCAGAGAACCAGATAGGAAACGTGAAGGACCATGCACGCTCCCTTGCATGACCCCACTAGTTCTGGGGCGTAGAGAAGAGCAGTAATCACCTAGATTGGTTAACAGATGGTGGACAATCAGGTATGACTATGGTCAACTAAGTAATGGGTCCCGGATTCCACAGGCCTCTAATCCTGTCTACAAACCATTGTTATTGAATTACCTATTGTATTACATGCAACGATCACTTCCGCATAGTCGCGATGAACAGATTCTGCAATCTAGTTCAGGTAACGCAACTGACGAGCAGCGCACGGTCGCTTGTTCAGAAAACAATGATGTGGGTCTTAGCAGACACAATGAACTTACATATTTCTGTGTTTCAAACAACCTGGTGATTGTAAGTGTGATGGAATCCTCAGTATTTCTCATTCCCGTATGTGGGAGCTCTTTTGTGCCGAAAGCTGAAAATGTCATTTCGTAGGGGAAGTAGCTTGGTTACGCTAATACGTTTGGAGTATCCGTCGGAGTTTTGGCAAATACAGTTCCCAATGCTTGAAAAAACTGAGAATTGCTAGGATGGAGGAGTATTTTGGGTTGTAAGCTGTTCATTTTACATGCTAAAAATACAACACCAAACGACGCGTAACTAGCTAGGTAAGGATGTGAGCATCGATCCAAATTCACTCGTGTTGCCATGTATATATTATTAGTATACCTTAAGTCTGATAATAAAAAACAATTTACATTTCTGCATGCTGAAAACAACCTATATGTGTACAGTCAGATGACAAGTTGATTTAGTATTTTAAACAACGCCCATGGACAAGTCGCGGGAAGCTCCGGAGAGCTCTATTTTCCATTGATATAGAAAGTGGCTAGATTCCAAATGCATGGGAGCGTGATCAACAGCATCGGTGGTCTATCGACCCCCTGTTAAGTTACGGATAGCTGAATGCAATCAGAAGGTAGTATGAAGTAGGACTTGCTTGTCTTAATAGTTAGGTGGACACCGTTGAGCGAATTATGGACTCAGCTTAAAAGGTTTGTTACGTTTGTATGTATGTATATGCTCAGCTCCGAAGATCAAGTATGACGAAGAATTACTTAGATGCTTCACATATCTCTGCTGGGTTCTAAATTAATCAAAGGAGGGATGCCATTTATTCTACGACACATAGTTAGACAACTTCAGTAGCATTGTGGCTTATTCGGATGTCCATCCAGTATTCATTCTTATTATGCATTCTGATTAAGCATGTTTGGAGTTGGTAGAATAATTTGAAATTCGCAATTTCAGTGAGAGCTTATTCACGTTTCTTAATCTTTATATCTGTTTTGTTGAACTACGATCCCGAATGAAGGCAGTACAAAGCTAATGTCAGTATATGCTGGTCACGACTGTGTATCCACACCAGTTCGGAGCGTAAATACAATGAACAGTAGATGGCCATTGGCCTAAAAGACGTAGGTTCCTGGCGTATAAACATAGGAGGTTCCATGCATACCATTATTATTATATATACATTACGCCCATGTTCTCCATTCAACTCTTGGTTGTGTAGAAGTTGGTTCAAATTGTCCAGGGTATGTGTCCGTTCTCAGCACACAGATTGCCACTGAACTGTTCTCAACTAGTGTAAACATTAGGAGACAGTTCCGTATAAAGTAAAAGAAAACATTTTAACGAAGGTAAATTGTTCACGAATATTTACAAATACGTGCGACTGCGGGCAAAACGTCGTGATTTTACCTTGACTACTCAGTGAACGAAACGTGAGTACCAGCTTAAACTAAACACTTCTGAGGTTTCAGAAATGGGCGCAAAAGAAATTTGTGAGGCAGTACTGGATAAAACCGGAAGCAGTGGTGTAGCATGTGCCGTAGGCACCCCGTGCACAAACCACTCTAGTCACGATTGGAGTCACTGAACTCGGCAGATGCTGGCTTCCCGCGTACCTGGGAGTCCGTGTGCTTGCGATAGTTGGCTCTACAATATTGCTTATGCGCTTGTTTTGGATACTATGATCCAAACCGCAGCTTGTTTGTGGGCATCGGGGCCCGACATAGCCACACTGCAGTTGGCACACGGTCCATAGTAATTCTCAGGTTGTTTTACTTACCTGTCATTACGGCGACATTCATCATTAGTGGTATGATCATACACTCTGAACGGAACCAAACAGTATCCTATATGTTGTGCTTTTCATCCACCTTCGTTAACAATACTTGTGCACCTTTAGGATGAAATGATTATGGAGGCCACTACATACTACTTTTGAGTATGCTTGCAGAACAGTTAAGAATCGCAGCAATATTCTTTTGCGACTCTATAGACGGAGTTATTTTTTGTGAAGCAGCCTTACATCCTATGCTGATGCTTTACATCCGTTACATATGTGAATTCAGACTGTTGCTTGGTTACCACTCGGCCTTTCGCGCACCGTGATTTTCGAAGTAGGCTCACTAGTTCAGTTGATTATGTCTAACCGATCGCATCACAGGTGCGATCACGAAACGACGGAGATCAAAGGACAACCCCCTACGCTACTACGCTTGACTCAATTGGGAGGGTCATCAGGTCTCGTTTGGACCGTGTCTGAATCAACCCTATTGTGATGGTTGTTAGCATACTGGCTACTAAATGAGCTGCAGCCACCAAACGAAGTGTTGTGGTTTGTAACGTATAATACATTCGATAACGCTAAGAGCACTCTCATGTACATTCTAGTATAAACTGGACAAGTAAGCTGATGTGCGCCTAGGTTATGATGAAAATTCTGTTGCAATTGCGCTACGGAATTTAATGGCGGTATACTAAAGACATTCCTGTAAGCAAAGATCTAGTGGGTAACGCTAGTCAATCAGAATTTACTTAGCGTATGTGCCAAGATTGTATGTAGTAAGTTCATAAAGAGGAGTAGCGTCAAAACTGCGTGACCTCACGGCAGTTGACTACAGACAAGCAATGTTCCGCTAATTTGATATGTCATGATACAATCGGTTTTCATTGTTGAAATGATTCATAACTAGCAGTTAAGCTGGAAAAGCAGTGCAAAATGCGGTGAGAACAACCTAGCTAATATCAATCGCTTGAAGTACGAATTCTAACGGCAATCAAGACAAATGCTTTTCTTACTTTTCAGTGTCAAATCGCCACTGGTAATCATGCAGTGAATTTTGCAGGACTCCATGCGAACAATGCGTTGTCAGCTGACAAGAATTACGTTGTTCCAGCGAGACCAGTCGGAGACTCTCAACAAGCTACAGAATCCATCGTTCTCCCTCCCCCTAACCGATTTGCATCGGATGCAAATAGCCAATACTTTCATAACCTCGCACGAGGAATTGACGCTAAGGTGGCCAAACCAATGATCCGCGAGGCATACCAATCGTTAGAAGACGAACAAGAGATGAATGAAAGCGACCGTCACTTTGTAGAACATGACCGGTGGGACGCAAGACCTGTGACAGTCGCCCCGGTAAAACACCCGACACTCAACCAGTCCTTGTTATGAGGATAAAATGATCAAGGCAACAGCACCAACATGGTTGTATTACATGACTGTGAATGCGTGTGCATAGCTGCTTTTTCTAAATTGAATAACTGGATCCCATGTGGTACGACAGTTTTACCAAAAATGCGCTGTGCTCAACCGAGCCGCAGGTGACAGCGTTGTTGTGAAAAGTGCATATCTGTACTTTCGGTATGCATGGAACATCAGCATATTTTTTATTTATTTGAGGTACGGATTTCGACATTTTCTTGATGGACCACGGCATACATCATTGTAATTAACAACATTATGTGGGTGGAGGGTTCACCAAATTTCCGGAACCAACACCAATCACACTGAGACGGAAGTGTTTAATAACCTGAACCAATGAAACTACATATTGAACCTACTCAGATTTTCGGTTAAGACAGCCACATGTTACCCTAATTGCAAACTTCATGGAAGGGCTGTACATCAATGGGTTGCGAGAAATTTCGTAGTATAGGTGGAGACAGTTATGCTTTAAGCAGCTCGTCTTTTTGAATAGATCCTGCTTAGTTGTTATCTTTTCATAAATATTGTGGGGCTAGTGCAACCGAGGAAACCGAAGCCTCAAGAACCGCCAGGTGGAACCGGTAGGTAAATAAGTCTTTGTTGTGCAAGTCTTATGAGCAGGATGCGGGATAGATAACTGTATAGGATGAGGAGTATTGTAGTAACATGCGTACGATGCTGCAGCTGTTTTGGTTTCACATGCACATACATAAGAAGGCCACAGTTAGTGCCGTCTGAGGAAATTTATTATGCTGCTCAAAACCAGGCAGGTGGTACTAAGTGTACTGATAAACTATCGATCAGTTCGAAACAGGCTTACATTTGTGTTCCGATTCAAGTTACCTACTGGTACATCCATTGAGAATTACCAGCATCATTCAAGCAGGTGAACCAAATAAATGCCCCATTTGATCAGTACACGGATGGTGGGCCTGAAGGAAATAAGGAATTACCCATGGAATCCAGGATCCACTCCCCATATACTGCATAAAATGTTTTGGTCGGGTGTTTATTTACGCATCCACCTATCAAAACTACTAACGATTCACAAACAGTAAATGTAATTACCAGTTAAAAGTACACTATTCAATTTACGATACAATCGCATACCATGATTACATTTCATGCAACTCCGAGCCGACATAAGAAAGCAGTCTAATTTTGCAGACAAATGACCTCATCGGCAAGCATGTCATTCGTCAGCTACAACAAGAAGCAAACGTTTGCGATCTGACTTTCATAGCTGGGACTTGGTAGCGCTCATAGGTTAAGAATGCCGAGACCACCAAATTCCAGGTACGAAGGTAATAACAAACATTTGTATTTAAAAATGACTAACGACAGAACTGCGACAGAGACACCGATGTAACTCAACGATCATGCAAGCTTACTTTACAACCTGCGGGTTGTTCTGAAAACCCTGAAAAATATCGTGAACTGGCGCGTAACTTCACATGCAGCGATGTGCAAAGGGAATTAGTTGAAGAATTATCTAGGACTTAGACAAACGGAAGCACCGATGGTGCTGGAATAAGTATACTGTGATTTCAACAAACTGATCACAACGGCTTAGCAACCATGCTGGTTTTTCAAGACACAGATGTTTGCCAGAAACATTACTAGAAAACGCATGGGAGTGTGGAATGTAGGCTGTCATGCTTACAGAAAACTTTTAGCGAAATCCGGAATGATAGTGTGTTCGGGCGTGACCAGTGGAAAAAGTGCCCCACCAACGGTGGTTGGTCCTAAAATCTCCTAATCACAGAAGCCATACAGGCACGTCACAAGTATTCACAGGTTAAAGCACGTTGTTCCGACACTTAACGTTAGGGGCGAGACGGGAACTGGTAGTAACCAGTGCCCCAATTTTCCAACATTACGTTCACGAGACTAACTTACACGCATCGCCTAGACGCCAGGAATTACTCAAACAACCTTAAAGCCAAAAATGTTAAAGAAACTGAATTTACTGTGCAACCGCAGCTCTCAGTGTCAATGACGTTCATACAAAGGCAATAAAGTTGTAGCAAAGGAATCGAACTAGCCCTTATTGTGTTTATTACAATTCGCCTTGAATGAACATGTCGTTCCTAAATAGCGTAAGCATCTTTGAATTACCTCTGCGCCTGACCGGACGTGAATTGCTGTCACTCAAGAGGGTATTGCAATGGTAACGTAGCGGGACTGCACCAATCGCATCCCCAGTATGATGTCCAACCTGAATAAAGCAGCAACGGGACAGTTTTTCCTCGACTGACCATCTCTAACAATACTGTATTCGTTCATGCAAATATACAATTTTCGTTTTAAAATGAACGCTCTCAGGCCAAACTGCCGGGTTTAGCGTATAGTAGTATGGCGACAGCAAATTCAGCTAATGAGAAGAGCTCACGGTCCACTTTGCATCATCTGGTATGTGGGTTTTGGCGTTGTCCACGACCAGCCACTCACGGTTCATCTTCACTCTTTAGTATGTACGCGCTGCAAACTCTCCGAAGAAGATCGAGAATTTACACCTTTACAGGTTCCACCGTTAATGATCACGTAGTGAAAGATACCTTGGTTATTCTTTATCTCTGTATGCTTCAAAACTCTTGAAAAGCTAGAGTTAACGCGTTTCCACCGGATTCAACAATGTACAATGCCGGAATTGGAATACTGGTTCACACAAGAATTCCAAGCGGTTTGATGTTTACAGCATTTAGCAATCTGTGCTTCCGGCACAGGTATATCGAACAACAACAACAACAACAACAACAACAACAACAACAACAACAACAATCCAAGGTAGTTAGTAACTTGAACTTCAAGCCCCACGTAGAGCAAACGCTTTTCAATGTACTGTGGCTTAAAACGGGCATACACAGGAGCAATCGGAAAGAATGGAAGATACCATGAGCCGTTGGTGTGAGAATACGTACATTAGACATTAAGCTGGTATTGTGTTTCAAATCTACACACGAGGGGCGACAAAACACTAGGCCTATCTAAGGCAACACTTTCAATGTGTGCCCTCCATTCCCAACAACAATGCAGTATTTTCAGATTACTGCAGTGGGATCAGTGGCGTAGCAACTACTTTTGCCGCACGGGGCGGTAGTAAAATTTCCTTTCTGACTGAGGACAGAATAGGCACGTGAATGGAACACAAGTGGCTCAAGGAAAAGTGCGCATTAGTTTTCGTTGAACTAGATGATCGTTTGAGACACTAAGGTAAATGTGGTAAAAGTGATCGCAATAGGACAATTAAGCAGATCGCTATGAAGAACGTATGCACAGGTGCGACACTTGGCGTAAATGGTTTGTTGGTACTACAGAATAACATTTAAATCTTCAACCGTCAGCTTATCAGGATATTTTGCCCGATATATATTGTATCGAACAATCAAAGGTAATAAAAATCCCACCCCTGTCAAGTGCCGCTCGGAGCAAACCGCCCCCACCCGTCTCCAATGCTAAGCTTCTGGTTGTGAGATATCGTGAGCAGTGGTTAGGTTGAACCATTAAAGTGCATCAATAACACAAAGGGCGTTACTATGTGAAACGAAAGTATAGTTGGTCCCGATGTAAGAAAACTGGTCTTTGTATACATGGAAATAGCAGGTTGTGAGAAGCTCAAGTTTGCTGTGATGGAATTAAAGCGGCGTAACGAAGGCGGAAATACTAATCCCCGCATTGCAAGTTTTCGAATAGTTACCCCGGTTTCGCTCCGAATCCGGAGTAATGGGTCACTAATGCTTCACGCACGTGCGACGGTTCCTACTGCGGCTAGCGTATAGCCTTTACGAACGTTCGTAGTCTAGCGAACAAAAGTGACGACGTTTGACAATACTTTGTCTCTCGGCAACCAGACATATTGGGCCTAGCTGAAACAAAGTTAAAACCTAAAATAACCCCCCAAGAAGTCGAAATCGGCGTATATTCTTGATTCCTCGGTAGGAGGAAAACAAATGGTCTCGGTAGCGTGATGCTTAACGTCCGGTGTTCCTTGTGCGAGAGACTCGTGGGCAGTTAGAGAAGCGCTGGTGACTTGTGTGCCCAGATACTGTGTTCGAGCCACTTGAGATGCAAAGAACTCCCCGTGGGCATTGTGTATTGCCGTCCAATGAGCCGCAGTTTAGACTGTTTGCCTCATGTGCGCAACTGCATGAGTCGTCCGCAATTCTTGCTCATGGGCGATTTCAACCTTCCTGGAATACAGTGGCCCAAGGTGGAGCTGCTCCCCATCTACTGATAAGTCAAGACGGAATTTGGGGAGAGGATGTTTGAAACTGGAGCCACGCAACACATTAAGCAGCCTACACGCACTATCTGGCGTTCGACTCCATCGCGTCTCAACCTGTTGCTGATCAGCTGCGTTCAACATGTTTAGGTCCTAAACATGTTCCTGGCAGCTAGTGACCACTTGATGGTCATGACGAGCATAGCGCAGCCACTGCGGTTTACTCCTCCAATGTAGCCAGCCTTCAGCTAATGGACGGCGAACATCAATAGCCTCACTCTAGCTGCGAACCCGTTGGAATGGTCGCTAGTACACGATTCATTAGTTAAAGCTTGTTTATCAATCATAGAAAAGGGAGTACAATCATTGTGCGTCCCATTTGTGCCCCTTAAATATCGGAAAGCTGGATTGTTCAAGCCAAACTGGTTTGACAAAGAGTACTGCATACCGGCTCTACTTAGACGCCGGCAATAGAATAAAGTAGTGCAAACTGGCATTGCTGAATATTAAGAAGCATACAAGTAGCAACGAATTACTTACAACAGAGCAAAAACGAGCAAACGCCGAAGCTTTAAAAAGCGGCTTGCAACCGCAGCAAAAGCAGCTCCCCATAAGATCCTTGCATAGGTGAAACGACTCCTTAAGCTGGCAGATGATTGGCCTGTATTAGAGAACACGGACGGACAGACCCTATCTTCCAGCAATGACCGTGCTTCAGATTGGCGGCGCACTTTGCTTCCGTTTT